ATATATGTGTGTGTGTGTGTGTGTGTGTACCACTCTCTCCTCCTTCATCTCGGCGCGCTCCTTGCGCGAGAATCCTGCTCGCCTTCGTCGAAACGGAGGACTATCCGAAGGACTTCGGGAGTAGTTGCCGGTTCGCCGGGAACGTTGTCCCCGGTGTGGCGCGGACTTTGCGAATGGTAACGAAGGGGGCCCCAACGGCTCTTAGCCTTCGGGAATTCCCGGAGCTTCCCTGCTATTTACATGCATCGGAAGCGATGCCGGGAGCTTCGACGATGGCGCTCGCCGAACGGATGGAACGGTATCGATCGGTTACACACACACACACACACACGCGCACACATACACACATACGACCCGCCTCTGAAGATAAATACCATATTTTTAATTAAATCGTGGCTCCGATGGTACGAGCTGATATTTGCCGAGGTGCTTTATAAAAATTAACGCATTTGGACTGAACGAGCGAGCGAGCGAGCGAGCGCGCGAAAGATGAACGAGCGTCAGATTTTTGCACGAGATACAATTTTATAACGCTCGCGTCGTTTGGAGATCGTGTTTTCAAACGATAATACCGACGAAATGGGATAGATACGCAGGATTACAATGTGTGCGCGCGCACGCAATAGTGGGCGAAAATACGAGGCGAGCGTTTAACAGTAGCAACAGCGCGAGCGACGACTCATTAAAAACGATAGTCGATCGACAATTTGTCTCTCGATTATCTGTAGTCTCGTCATACATACGTGAAGCGTCCCCCCGTTATCCTACCGTGACGCGAAATTTATGACCCGCGGCCATCGCGCGGCGATAAGAGAATGTCAACATGACAACCGGGCGCGCGCGCGCGCGCGCCACCACCAGCTGTAAAATTCCACGTAATTAATAAAATTGGCCCTTGGCGAAAGGGGCATGGTTTGCACGGGGGAAGATACGGCGGGCGCGAAGAGCCGTGCGCGACAATTCTGTGGAGAACGAGCCGATGGATATCAGCGCGGCTCGGTGGGAGGTGCCGCGGTGTACATTTTTTATCGTCAAGTCTATCGCGTCGGAGGCGCGAGTATGAATTTTATACGACGGACGTGTTATCGCGACTCACTATTACGGCGAATTATCTGTGTCGTTTATTACATAGTTTTTCTGTACGCGATTGACGTAAAATATAACGCTATTAAAGATATCGAGTACATTTCGCGCAGAATAGAATTGTTTTTTCATATCAAGGATATTTTTAGTACAAAATACGTAATAATTTTATTACTTGTTCGTCGTGAATCGAATTTGCATGTAAAGTATTTAATTTTTTATTACTGTTTATTCTTGAGTTTCTAGAATAATGTGTTTTGATTTTTTTGCATCGTATTAATCCCCCCTTTTTACTTTTCTAATGTAAAAATAAAAATACTGTGGAATAAAAAGTATAAATATTATTTTGAGAGCGTTAAGATTCTTCTAATCATTACTTTGCGATATATAAAATTTCAATAAATGTTGATATTGGATCGATTGTTTGTTCTTACCTCCGCGGTTTTCACTGTCCGCCGGCTTCACTTGAATAGGACGGTTCATCTGTAACAAAAATAAAAATGACACGTTAGTCGTGCTGCAATACGCTGACGTTGATACCTACAATATTTCTTATATTTACACGCAGCCACATATACACACACGCGCACACAGATTTTCGTCTTTCTACCTCTACCTTTTATTCCATCCAAAGAGGATAGAAAATGGAGTAAGAAGAACGAAAGCGCGCGGTGACGAAGAGCGAAACTAGCGGGCAAGAGGCGAAAATATCCAGTTTGCCGAGAAAGCGGAAGTATCGTTATTTGTCCGGCATGTGTGCGCTCGTCCTTCGCGTCACTTCGGCCCGTTCAAACACCATCAGTGGTTGCGAGAGCTACCTCTGCCGTTGACAGTTCTGGCTGTCAGAGTGCGCGTGGACGTTCGCGAGTAAGAGCGCAAGGGACGCGGAATGAGAGGACGGAACGAGAGTGACAGAAGCGCTCGAGAGAAAGGACAAGGCGAAGAGAGGAGCGAAGCCATGGGGCTCTCATCCCACAGTTGTGGGTTACGAAAGCACGGAACCCGTCACTCGTCCTTCCGCCGCGGTCCCGGCAGAAGTCCTTTGGACCGCTGCGGATGGGTCGGGATCCCAACGAACAAATAACATTGTTTATTTCTCGGACGGGTCGCACCGCCGCAGCGCGTTCCAGTTCGCTCCTGGGGGGATGAGGATGCATGATTCATGACGTAGGGGACACAAGACCGTACTTCGATCCCGACTACATCCCCCCCCCCGTTCCCGTCTCTCGCTCTATCACCGTCCGCCACCCCTGTCTTCCATCGACCTCACTCGGTCTTGAACTCTCTTCGCCACAATGCGTCCGCCCCTTCTTCCGCCACTTCCGTGTCTCTGACGACGCGAATGGTGCAGCCAACGGTGGCATTATCCTACTGCTAGCCTTGCAGGTCCTTTCTCTCTGACCAATTTTCCTCCGAGGATCACTGGACTGCCGCAAACGCGAAAGAGCTGCGAGACCTCACCAGGTTTGCCAGTGACACGATTTCGCCTTTCAAATATTTATACAATACGTGCATACGTGTGCTGTGTTGAAGTCCTTGTGCCAGAAAAGAAGACAATGTATGTATATGTGGATGTAATTATTATCGAAGCAAGTTAAAAAAGAATGAAGTTCCGGCATAAAGTCGCGCTATAACATATTGCGGTGATTTCAACGGAAATCTCGATCATAAAACTTTTATTCTATTAAAGTTTCTTTGCGATATATAATGCCTTCAACGCAGTGTCTTCTATTGCACAATGTACAATCCATCGTTTAAAAGTATTAATATCTTGAAAAAATTAACGTTTATTTTTCATACAATTCTAACGTAAAAGTGTCTTTGTATATCCAATTGTGGCGCATGACTAAAAAAAAAAAGAAATATGTAGCGGGATATAGACTGGAAAATCTGGTTTTCCAACGCGAACGTGTACAACTGGACATTGCGACCATCTGTCTTCTGACTTGCTGTTTCCTTTTTTTTTTTCCATTACACGGTTCCATAAGAATCGCAAGGGAAAGGTGCGCGATGCGATGGGATGGAAACGTGCTCGGCAACCCCGAAAGTTTTTTTTTTCTGCGCGCATGCACGCCGGACACAAAGAGGAGCGACATTACACGGTCGGGGTCAGTGCCACGATCACGTAGATATTATACAAAGTGCATGTATGCGCGAGCATGGGTTCCGGGTTCATGGCGCTCTCCTCTTTTCCCCGAGATCGATATAGCGTATCATCGGCGGCCTATACACACCGCCGTTACGTGTGGAAAGAAATATTTCAACGCGGCGTCGCATCACGTCGCGCTCGTGTCAGACGAGTCACGAAGCGGATGGAAAACGCGAGATTGGAAGATCCGAGTAAGAGGGAATGGGGGGAGCGCGCGATTGCACACGTTTCTCTCGAACGTACGGCAATTAACGGCGTCTCGGGGGATCGAAATTCTCCGCGCTATCGATTAATCTGGCGATACGCGACCGCCAGGCGGTAATTACTCGCGACTCTGTGAGGCGGGTCGCCATTAACTCTTTAATATTTCATATAGCGGCGGCTGTACGTCCGGTCGCGATTCCCGAGACCGACGCTACGCGAGGGACGACGGAAGAAGAGAAAGCGGTCGTGACGACAAGCGGGATAGCGCGGAAGGCAAAGGAGGGAGAGGAAGATGGGGACAAAGCGAAAGAGAGGGAGAGAGAGAAAGAGAGAGAGAGAGATAGAGAGAGAGAAAGTAGGAGACAGCGGGAGGGGGAAGGTCACTTTAAGCACTGTCCGCTGGTCAGGAAATTAAACTTTGAGTCGAGAACTGGCCATTAGGCGTTTGTTGTTGCCCCGTTGTCAGGGGAACCCGGCGTCCGTATAGATACCGGAACCGAGATACGACGTTCCGTCTCTCCCGCCTTGTTTCTCCGGACGAGTTTAACGCTGAATGCATCGTGTAAATGTCACTTACGACCCGAGGGATCTTGCACCAGTCAATAACGATCAGCGGGAGCGAGACTTCTCGCTCAGACAAACCGTGCTTCGTGTCGGTTGAGATGCGCCGATTAACATGGTCGGCTATTAACTACCGCGTAACCGCGCTGCGCTCGGCGGTAGTTAGTCGATTGGAGCAGCGGGGCGATGTCAATTAGCAGTGAGTACGGTATCGCGGCGAGATATCGCCCCCGAGATACACTTCAGCTCCGCCGTGCTCTCGGCGCGGCGCGTGTCGCAAGAATTATTGAAAAATAATCCGCGCGATTTGCCGCGCGACGTCGAGTGGCGCGGCGGCGGGACGCGACGGATGCTCCCGGAAGCGAGGCGTTATTAAAATTGAAAAGTTAATACTTTGCGCGTACTAATTGGCTGCGACGCTTGTTGAATACATTGACGCGCGTTATCTTCGGCAAAGGAATTTTAGATTAAAGTTAACACGTGGCAGAACATTGCACGTGCCGCACGCATTATATGCAAAACGGATGAACGAAGGCGGATAGTTCCAGGCTGCCTCATGCATAAAAGTCGTTTTGGGTTCGCGATTAACTCTCGTCCTTTTTCAAACGCCGCTCAGGAGGAAGCTGGATAATTAAGTACGTTTCCAGCGGTACATTGTCGTGCTTTCGTACAGAAAAAGACAAAATGATGCGGCGAGGAGGTGGGGGGGGGGAGAGGGGAGAAGGAAAGCACGGAGAAAAAGCCGCACCTCTATTTAACGATCGCGTTACGATCGAGCGTCGACCCTTTGGCAATTTGTGTCATCAGCCGCGTGCACTTGGAAAATCGATCCCCTTGAGAGGCACCGCTCAAGATGGATGGTAATAAGTAAATGTGTTTGCTGAGCCCCGAGCGCGCATCACGAGCAATTAATTAAGCTCGATTATCTATGTACACTGCGGGAAAGTGCGCCGTCTCGCTGCCGGTAGATGCTGAATGATAGCCACGCGCGCGGCAAATGCGCCGAATGATAATGCCGCGGTCTGCTCGCGATGAAACTTTGCGCCACCAAACTGGCGACAGAATTTCTCTACGTGTAATCTAAAATATTTGTTTCCTATTTCTTTTTTCTCTTCATACAATAATCCCCGAGACTCTGAATGTAACGCTGAACGCGATTGAAAACGCCGAGAATACGCTTTGACTAAAAATAGCGCGAGCTCGCTGGCGGAGAATCTCGATTATCTCAATTTATGCCCGTTGATAAACCGAGTCTCTTCTTTTCAGGGTGAGTACACGCGGCTTTCGAGAAAGCCACGCAAAATCCAGATAGAGGATGGGCGCAGGCTGATAACCGCCGAATTGAATGGTGAATGCCGTTTCGGAAATTGAATAAGCTATCGTGCCAGGGCTGAGCTGCCGAGTGGCGCGCTGCCGGTATTTGACCTGGCTGCGTGCAATCAATGTACTGATTGGAGATAAGGGCCCGCCCTGTAGCCCCCGGCATCCTCTCCGGCATGATTTATATACGCATGGTCTTTACCGGCGATGTATTCATTACTTGATTACCCATCGGCAAGTTAATACTGATCGCGATTATGTATCGGGACAAATATTTGTATCTCCTCCGTGAGAAATATTCACGTTTATAATTTTTTTCTATATCCTCGCAAAAATGCTGTTCTAATATCACTAATTAATCCCGTTATTAGCGAATTTAACGAATTTTTTTTTGTTTTGACCATGTTGCATACTTGGAAACTTACAATTAACCCCGTGGATTGTGGATTTTTGTGAATAATTTCATTAGCCGAAGACGTTCGCAAAGTACGTCGAAGACGCGATTGGGCCGCTACAAAGCTCCCGACATTTTCGTTACATAATTCAGTTATTCTAATTAGTATGGTTGCGTTCGTGAGTGCCTGGCTCAAGTTAACTCGAATAATCCTTCGCGTGGATATCAAGCGGGAAACTGCATGCTAATAGCGCGAAATCTGCGCTCGCGGTCGTGCCCGTTAATACGGCTAATTTGTCGACTGCTTCGGAGCGAATGCCAGTCCTCTCCGTGCTTGCTGTCGGATGCTGCGTGGGAGATACCAAAGCGCGGCGGGAAATGCGGAAAGAGGATGAGCTGCCAGCAAGCAGATTACATCTAAATGGATCTCGGCCGAGATCTAATTGGCAAATTAATTGCAACCCGAAATTAATTCCGCCGCTTCGACAATTGATATTTGATGTACCGTTTGTTGCCGAATAACCCTTCGAAAGAGCCATTTCTGTAGCGTCTCATCCATAATCTGCTACAGAATCGGCCGATTCCGCGAGAGCCGATCCCATTGTTCGAGTTATACTGTGTTTCGTCCAATTCCCGTGCGAATTTGTCGGCAATATCGCGCGCTTAGCGCGTTATCGGCGTCACTTTTTGACGCGATCAAACAATGCATCTCCGGACGAGTGATAACTTGCATTGAAGCCCAGGTTGCGATTCACTGTGGGGCGAATAAATGCGCACCTGTGCCCCCGTATGCCTGCCAGTTTGCCTGTTTCGTGATTATAAATAGGATTCGCGTTTTATTGTCGAGAGCAGAGT